TGACACACGACGATATGCGTTGCTTTTTGAGCCCAAAAAATTATCATTGCAAATCTTTTTCAGGCATACAAAAGCTTTGGTCTGATTCAATTTCATTCCTTCCTATGTAGCTGAAAATTCAGTTGGAGTTGCAGTCCTCTAAACATTAGTTGCTCACAGTGGACGTCTTCAAAAATGCAACGGCTATCAAAATGTGTCGCAAATAAATAAATACTCAATATAATACCGAATGATAAACGAGCATTCGAATGAATAGAAAATCTCTCGAATAATAAACACATAACTTTCATAGACTCTCAGCAACTTTCTTATGTGTAATTATTCGTCAACAGAAAATTACGTGGAAATGTGGCCAAATGATGAAACGGTAACGCACTACCAGCAAATGGAACCGCTGTAACTGGCTTATCCTTATTCTCCTTCTTATGCTTCATCCTACGATTCTGGAACCAGATCTTCACCTGAAATCATTTCGTCATTTCAACATAAAAAAGATTATTGGATGCACTGCGATGAAAGATTCATTTGAGTTAGAAATGATCGGAAGATCATTTGATCCGATCAAATGGGGATATCATCAAGAACCTATCACAGCTGATTTTCCTCAGAAAAATGTTGCCTTCCAATTGTTATGAATTTTAATACGAAGTAAAATTCACAGCAAAAGGTCCACAAGTGGAATCTTCGGATGTCACAACATCACGAAGATTCCATGGGTCGTTTCCATGGCACTTTAAATTATTGTTACTTCGATAACTTGATTCAGGCTTGATCTATGTTTAACTTTGCTACCGCATTAGAGCTTTCTAAAGTCCTCACACTACTTCTGATGGTTTTCAAGTGACAAGCTTGTTCCCAAATGGATCTAGTTTCATTAAAACTCTTCCTTCAATATTCTTTAAATCACGTCCTTTCAGAAGACTCAATGAACTTATTGAGGTGTTTATCAGATTTAATTCAACCTAATATTGCGAATCGCGATAGTTCATCAACTGCTCTTTCAGCATATTTCAATTTTTGAATTATGTTTGGTATCAGTGACTATAAGTAATAGCAATGCCAAATTCGTGTAGATCGATATGTTTCGAATGCTTCATATGCGAGAATGCATGTGCTATATAAATGAGTGCAACATAATCACTGCTTCATGCCCTCCATCTAACCAAATCTCGATCGATATAAGCATTGAATTGCCCATTTCAAATAGAGGAATGCTTATTATCAATTCAGTTTCATGCAATTAAACGTTTGACAATCGCAACAAAATTCATTCATTACGATGTAGGAAAGTATCACTAAACTCCTGTAATTCAATCGTGCAAAATGGGATGTTTGCTTATCCATCAGTATCGAAGATAACTTATGGTAATCGAAAACATTTCCGCTTAAGTGTCCAAAATTTGAGCATTTCATCAGGAAATATAGAATGAGAAGCTGTCTTTGTATGCTACAGTTGCATTTTTATTGAAGGTT